CGACGAGTCTAATTAATAGTTTGCTAATCAGTTCGATTATTTTGTTAATAACAGTACCCTTGTTTAGTCCTTAATTAAGTCTAGTCACATAGTCTAGCCACATGGTCATGACACAAGTCTTAACATATCACCTAAATTCACTAGTCTTAGCACACACTTTGTCTATATGTCACCATGACCATGTCTTAGGTTCATGCATGAGTCGGTTTTTCTGTCATTTGAGTTGGGGGTACACTCTATGCTTAATTTTTTCATATCTCTCCATCTACATCATCTCTCCATGCTTTCTCCATATCATAACCTTCATTCTTCCAACCTCCTTCCATCTATTGCATATTGAATAGAGTTTGAGTCAAACAATTAACAGTGCATATCCCTAATTTCCCTTTCTACAGTACTTACTCAAGGAGAGAAAGACGATTAATCAAAGACAACACTTTTATTCAAGTTCAACTTTTTGATAAACCAATTCGTCAAAAGAGAAAAGCTAAGAAGGCAATAGCAAGTCAAGAAGAAGTCAATGAGCTTTAAAAGCAAATGAGTGACGTGACTGAGGTGTTGAAGGCTTTAACCCTTCAAATCAATGACCTTGTGAAACAACAACAAATGGAGCTCATGCAAGAAAGCTTGAGAAAAATATCCAATGACTATAGATTCCAGGGCATTAGCTCACAAGGGGTCTCAGTGGACAAGGAACTTCTTCCGCAGAAGTTCAATGCCACTGACATCCCTAAGTTCAAGGCAACAAATAATCCTTATTTCCACTTAAGAGCTTTCGAAACCATAATGAACATTAAGGGGATTGATAGGAAAGTCTTTCATTCCTTGTTTTCTTTATCTTTTGAAACCGTTTGTCAACAATGGTTCTTTTCCCTTGACAAAGAGAAAACCACTACTTGGGATGCTATTGTAAACGCTTTCATTGACAGATTTAAGTGTAATATTTAAATTGAAACTGACTATAGAAGACTTGAGATGCTAAGACAAAAAGAGAATGAAGACTTTACTTCTTTCTTTAATAAGTGGAGGGAAACTTCCGCTAAGATGATTGAGGTGCCCACCGAAAGAGAGTCTGTAAGGATGTTTATCAAGAATTTACAAGAAAAGTATTCAAAGCACTTAAAATATCAACATAATTTGAATAATTTCAAGGCCATCTATGACATAGGCATCGAGATAAAAGATGACCTCGCAAAGCAAAAAGCTACTAACAATAGCAACAACAGTGGCTGGAAAGGAAAGAAGAATGACAATCATTCTTCTTCAAAAAACGCCCACTCTAGTAACAATGTCAGTACCTTCGATCTCACTGAAGTCTTGGCCATGGATAACCAAGGATATAAGAAGCAACTAAGGAAATACTTCACTCCCATTGGGATGATTTATGATGCTGCATTCGATCGACTCCGTACTAAGGGACTCATTACTCCCATTGGACCTATTCAAGATCCTGCACCTGAAAAGAGATTGCCTAGTTGGAATCCAGATGCACATTGCAAGTATCATCAAGGTAGGGGACATACCACTGAGAGCTGTTGGAAGCTAAAAGAGGCTATCCAACATTTGATTGATAATAACAGGCTTCCCACACCTCCAACTAGCAAGAAGAGCGAATGATGACACAAGGCGAGCTTCAAGATTTCATGACCTCTTTTTCTATTTTCATTCTTCCTTTCCCCAATAACTCTAGCATAGACACTTTATATTTTCCTTAGATTTACTTTGTAAGACTTTTCTTTTTTCCTTTTTAATAAAAACGAGCATTTATTTCCTTGCATATGATCATTGCATTGCATTGCACAAAAATAAAAAATAAAAAATAAAAATTCCATGTCAAACTAGGCACAAGATATACTAATGATTTGAGGCACCCCTTGTAGCCACATCATATCACCTTTCACCCTTCAAATATGCAATCTTTTTTTTGATAAACCACTTTGAGCCTCGTCTAACGATAGACCTTTCATTTTTCAACCCATATCTACCTAACCTTGGGATGGGATGGTGTGTAACTTATGCAATTTTAAAAAGCTTGAGTGATTCACAATAATAATTAAAGTGTACAAAAGGGCAAGTGTTCCAATGTCTTTGATATGAACACGTTTCAGATTGCATCTCTTATCGAGTGCTCGGTACCGTGCCTAAGAAACATGAATGGCAAGTGAGTGATATACCGCATGATCAGGATTGCCCACACTTATAGAAAAAGATTCAAAATAAAAAAAATGCAAAAGCAAAAAAAAAAAAAAAAAAAAAAAAAAAAAAAGAGCAAAAATAAAAAAGAAAGAGCTCAAAAGTGAAAAACTCAAGCATAAAAATACAAGGATTCAAATGCAAGGTTGCACATCTTAGGGGTTATCTAGGGTCTTGAGCCTTTATCCCTTTCTTCTATAACCTTTAGCCTAACCACGTTACAACCCTTAAAATACCTATTTGAGTTATACACACACTTGTGCGAGGTTCAGCTAGAGCTACGTTCGGCCTGATTCCTAACGGATACGTAGGCAAACTCACATCGAGGTGCGACCGTAATTAAAATGCATTCATATTTACATTCATAATTGATCATATCAAGGGATCCCCTGTGCTCATCCCTTTTCATTTAGAGCTATACTTGGGGGCTTGATCCCTATATCATTAGCCTACCCAGCCTAAGAGTCACCACCATTTGACTCTTTTCAATATATTTTTTCACACACTTAGCCCTTGCGGCCTAACTTTAGTGTCACTATCACACACATCACAGATACATGACCAAATATACTTCTCTTAGGAACCCTTTGTCATGAAATCTTAACACAACGTTGAAGCATGCCTTGTCATATCAACATCACTCATCAATCATAAACATCATTGCATCACAAAGTATGAAGTGCTTAGCCTCCGTGCCTAAGTTACCCAAATGCTTTCATCATTGAGTCAACAATTGAGATATCCTAGGATGAATTAATCCTTTCACATTGAGAAATAGTATCAAACAACATTTGGCTAAGCTCATTCAACATGCATTCAAAAACTTCGCTTTTTTCTTTTTTCGCGTCTTTCTTTTTCGGGAGAAAGTCGGTACCCTCCACAAAAATGACGGAATTTTTTTGATTTTCTGAATCAACGCTCCGCACACACGAGTCATATCGAGTCGAGTCAACCTCGAATAAGTCAATCACAATGAGTCAAGTTATACCTGGAGTCACGACAAACCATGTATGTCAAAACACTTCGAGTCATGTCAAGTCAATGAGTCAAGCAACACTATGTCTTAGGTCAACTGTAATACCCCGTATTTTTATACGTATCTTATTTAAAATATGTATTTTATAAAGGTATTTAAATAATTTAAATATTTTAATTATGGTATTTAATTATTTATCCTATGTAAGTTTGAAAATATTTTTACTAAAGGAAAGTTTGTTTAATTATTTATTTTATAAAAGTTGGGGTTTTATTTTAGGAAAGTATGATTTTAACAAGTTTTATTAGGGAAGGGATTAGGAAAAACTAAAAGAGGAAATTTTAGGGTAAAAGGGGTGGTAGAGAAGTGGTATAAATATCCCTCTTATGAGGCAAATCAATTTTGCCCAGAGTGGAGAAAACCCAAGGTAAATTTCTCTCCCTTTTCTCCTTATTTTTCTTCTCTCTTTTTCTTTCTCCTTCCTCTTTCCCTTTTGTTTTCGGACCACCACCACCACCGGAAACCACCACCACCGGTGGGCCGCCGACCACCAGCCACCGAGCTGGCAGCAGCGGCGACCACCAGTGCTGGCAGCAGCCGGCAGTGGCGTTGGCCTGCTGTCGGCAGTCCTTGTTTTTGAAAAAAAAAACTTAAAAAATCTAATCTTTCTTGCTCTAATTTAATCTATGCTTTAATCTAATTGTAAATTATGAGTTTTGGGATTTAATTTTGATGTTTGATTATTATAATTATGTTTATTAAATTTTCAGATTTTGTTTTTATTAAAAATCCCCAATTTTGAAACCCTAGGTTCTTGATTTATGAATTATTGAAAGATTATGATGTATTATGGTTTAGATCTTTGATTAAAGTGTTTCAAGACTAAATTACAGCAAGTTTTAATTAAAATAAAGTGCTGGAATTTTATGTAGAGCACTTAATATTATGATTCTTGAAGGAATTTCAATTACCCACTAATTGAGACTTAAGTATGGTGTTTTAAATATAATTTCAGCTTATTTTAATTAAATTATAAGGGATTTTATAATAGTATATATTGCTGGAAATTTGTTTAGAATGGATTTTAATACTCTATTATGACTTTAATGTGTAGAAGACTTTGAAGTAAGCAATTTCTATTAGTCGTGGCGATTTTAAGATCGTACTCAAGGTACGTTCGCGTACTTAACATATTTTGGTGATGTAGTATCATGCTAGGCTTGACTTCAATCAATTACAAGTAGTATCATGCTAAGGTTTATGTATGGAATTGTGAATTATTGGTGTTGGTGATTGAATTGTGAAGCATGAATTATTTGTGATGGTTTATGGATTGGAAAATCATATTTTTGGCATGATTATATGGACTACACTTTTATTTAGGGCATGTTAGAGTGCATGTTTAATTAAACTACATGTTTAATTTGGCTTGGAATATCAAAAAGGAATTTTATTATGGTTCATATAATTTTTATTGATGCTTTAAGCATGAGGAAGGAGCTATATAAGTGTCTATGTACACGAGGAATAAATTGTATGCTGGTGCCTTTGTGCATTTAAGGCGTTTTTAACACCGAGGGATAGGATTTTTGGCGCTTTATGCGTTTAAGGTGTATTTGACACTGAGGTAGAATTAAAAAGGGTTCAACATTAAATATTATGTGGTCACTAAATATTCAAGAATTAAATTAGTATGTTTGTTAATTGAATAATTGTTGTTGATTAAATTAAGATTAAACCAAAATTATTATCACAAAAACTCCCTCGAAAGAAAGGGCCGTTTCTCTCTAGACTCGTAGGGTTTGGCTGTCGTGCTTGACAGCTTCTAGTGATGCTTTGTGACTGTTTCTCGGTTCGATCTTCAGCTATGGCTGACGAAATTGCAGCGAGATATGCGAAATTACGAATTGAAGAGGATGAAGGTGGAATTGTGGACTTGGGTGCGATCAATTCGTCGGTAGTACCTGACAAATTTCACCTAATGCTCATTGGAAGACTTGTGACTGATAGACCCTATAATTTGGAGGCGTTTAAGAATACGATGATTAGAGATTGGACTTTAACTGATAAAGTAGTGATTAGGGTTCTAGCTCCAAACCTTTATGCCTTTCAATTCTTTCATTGGAGGGATAAGGAGAAGGTATTGAAGGGTAGACCGTGGTGTTTCGATAATATGTTGCTCATATTGAAGGAGGTGGAGGGTGACGAGCAACCAGAACAGGTGGCTCTCTATCACTCTCCGTTCTGGGTTCGGGTGAAGCACTTGCCTTTCAATTGCAGGTCCGATGAGGATGTTAAAGAATTAGTGGCGAATTGGGGGGAGGTTCTTGAAATTGAAGAAGATTTGTTGGGACTGGATCGATTTAGACGTGTCCGTTTGTAGATCAATGTGACTAAGCCTCTGCGAAGGTTCCAGCGCATCCTAGATAAGAGTGGGAAGGAGATTATCATTGAATTTGCTTATGAGAGACTCCCATTCTTCTGTTTTGCGTGTGGGATAATTGGACATTCGAAGCGAGATTGTTGTATGGTGTCTGAGGAAGTGAAGAAGAGTAGACTGGGTTGGGGGAGGTGGCTTAGAGCATCTCCGCGAAAAGGGCGATCGAAAGAGGTGGAGGTTGTTATGTCTTCACGTAAGCAACTCTTTGTAACTAAGGACTCGCAACTTTCTTTTGATGGTGAGAAGGAGAATGAGGTCGTTGAGGAGTTGGAAACAGAGCTCCAGGTGAAATCTATCTGTGACAAAGGGGACTCTAATAGTGATAAAGGGGATTTTTCGCAATTGGTGGATTCTACTATTGGAGTGGGGGCCACGGCTATTGTGAATGGAAAGAATTGTGAGGAGAATGTGAATGATCAGCTTATTAATAAAGAAAAGGTGAGTGAATCAGAGAGAATCTATGGGGAAAGTGGGAATTGTGAAAGTGAGGGGATTGGTAAGTGGGGTGAAGAGCTGCTGGGTAATGTTGGGGGATTTGTTGTGAGATGTGGGGCTGATGCAAGTAAGGTGGGGTATAGGAGAAAGGTGAGAAAGAGAGTGGATAATGTGAAGGACCCTACTGCCTGTAGTATGGAAACTGATGCTGGAGGTGTGCTTGGTAAGAGAGTGGGAAGTTGTACTGATGAGCGTGACGGTGATGAGTATGGACGAAAGAAAATGATTTGTTTGACTAATGATAACGGTTTGCGGGTGGCGGAGGCTGTTGTTGAGCAGCCCCGCCGAGCTCAATGAGTATTTTAAGTATTAACTGTAGAGGACTGGGCAACTCCTCTGCGGTTAATAATCTCCGAAACTTGGTCTGGAGAGAGGCCCCGTCTCTTTTATTTCTAATGGAGACGAAGTTGAGTAGCGGTGAGATGATGAAAATTCGGCCCAAACTTGTGGGATATGATGGAATTGCTGTAGATAGTAGTGGGAGGTCGGGGGGTGTGGCATTATTTTGGCTCAAGGAGTTGAATGTTGAGTTGTGTTCGATGTCGTTACATCATATTGATGTAGTTGTTAAGACTGGAGTGGGTCCTAGGGAGTGGCGTGTGTCGGGGTTCTATGGTTGGCCGGAAGTACATAATAGGCATTTATCTTGGCAATTACTCACTGATCTAGTTGGTGGGGAGGTGAGGGAGTGGGTTTGTATTGGGGATTTTAATGAGATTCTTCGAGACTCGGAGAAAAAAGGTGGTCGTGACAGGGCCATATGGCTAATGGAGAATTTTAGGCAGGTGGTTGATCGTTGTCACTTGTGTGAGGTCCCTTTTTCGGGATACGAGTTTACTTATGATAATGGCCAGAGTGATAATGATAATATACAGTGTCGGCTTGATAGGGCACTAGCTTTGCAGAGTTGGTTAGATTTGTTCCCAGAGGTAAAATTAGTTCATTTGGAACGAGAATGGTCGGACCACGCCCCAATTAAACTCATGTTAGAGAAAGGAGGGGGATTAGAGAGTAAGAGGCAGGACAAAAAAATATTCAGATTTGAGCAAATTTGGACGGAAGATGAAGGGTGCGAGGGAGTGGTGAAGGATGCGTGGGTGGTGGGAGGAGACATGCTGGAAGGTAAGATTGAAATGTGTGGTGAGTTACTGCAATCTTGGAGTGATAAGAATTTTGGTCATATTTTTAGGGAGATTAGAAAGAAGAGGAAAAGGCTAGGAATTCTTAATAAAGGAGGACGATCAGCAGCCCGTGTTAATGAGAGAAGGAAGATTGTCAAAGGAATTTCTGATCTCATTCATTATGAAGAGTTGTATTGGAGGCAAAGGTCGAGAAACTTGTGGCTTCAAGCAGGGGACCGCAATACTTCTTATTTTCACAGGAAGGCTTCACAGAGGAGGGCAAAAAATCAGATTACGCACTTGATGGATGATGAGGGTGCGTGTTTTGATGATCAGCAGGGCATGAGCAAAGTTGCGGAGGACTATTTTATAAAGCTTTTTTCCTCGACAGATCCCATGAATTTTGATGAAGCTTTGGCAGGTGTGGACAGACGAGTAACGGAGGAGATGAATGAGGGTCTTTGCGCCCCCTACTCGGCTGAAGAAGTGTTTGTAGCTTTGAAGCAAATGCACCCTTTAAAGGCCCCGAGCCCGATGGTATGTGCCCTTTATTTTTCCAAACTTATTGGCATATTGTTGGCCCTGCTGTTACATCTTTGGTTCTTAATGTGCTTAATGGTGGTGGGATAATGCCGGAGAAAATTAATAAAACCTTTATTGTGTTAATCCCGAAGAAGAAAGAACCAGATAAAATGGCGGAATTTAGACCAATTAGTTTGTGTAATGTGGTCTATAAACTTATTACGAAGGTGCTAGATAATCGTTTGAAGGTGTTCTTTTCTGAAATTACTTCCATCAACCAGAGTGCTTTTACCCCGGGGAGATTGATAACTGATAATATTCTGGTTGCGTTTGAATTATTTCATCATATGAAAAATTCTACTAGTGGAAGTGGTTTTATTGCTCTGAAACTTGATATGGCGAAAGCTTATGACAGAGTAGAATGGGGTTTTCTTGAGGCGGTTATGGTTAAAATGGGGTTTGCTGATCATTGGATAAATAAAGTGATGCATTGTGTAAGTTCTGTGTCATTCTCAGTTCTTATAAATAGGGCACCTTCAGGGGAGTTTACCCCTTCTCGGGGTATTCGTCAAGGTGATCCTCTTTCCCCATATTTGTTTATCTTGTGTGCTGAGGCTTTGTCAGGGCTTATTAGTAGAGCGGTGGAGAGGAACCAGTTGTATGGAATTAGAGTGGCTTCATTGGCTCCTTCGATCTCACATTTATTTTTTGCAGATGATAGTATTATTTTTTCTAGGGCGAATGTGGATGAGATTAATACAATCAAAGGGGTCCTTAAGGTGTATGAGGAGGCGTCGGGGCAAATGGTTAATTTTGATAAGACAACTGTGTCCTTTAGCAAAGGTGTGGAGGTGGATAGGAGGAGAGAGTTGGCAAGTTCATTGGGGGTAGCCATGGTGGATATTCATGACAAATATTTAGGCTTGCCAACGGTGGTGGGGAGATCAAAAAGGGTTATTACGAAGGGAGTGAGAGAAAAAGTGTGGAAGAGACTTCAAGGGTGGAGAGGGGGATTTCTATCAAAGGCGGTTCGGGAGGTGTTGATTAAGGCAGTGGCCCAATCTATCCCTACCTATGCGATGAGTGTGTTCAAATTTCCTTCCTCTTTTTGTGATGAGTTGCGTTCGATGGTGGCTAATTTTTGGTGGGGTCAGAAAAATGGTGAGCGGAAGGTTCATTGGATTGCTTGGAAAAAACTTTGTGAACCGAAGGCTAAAGGAGGGCTGGGATTTCGAGATTTTAAATATTTTAATGCAGCTCTTTTGGGTAAGCAAGCATGGCGCTTAATCCAACATCCGGGCAGCTTGTTCGCAAGGATTTTAAAGGCTCGGTACTATCCTAATGGGGACTTCCTTAGTTCAGATTTGGGGAGTACTCCGAGTTATACTTGGAGAGGAATTTGGGGTGTGAAGTGGGTTGTTAAGCGTGGAGTTAGATGGCGGGTCGGGGATGGTCTCAACATCTCAGTTTGGGGTAGCCCATGGATCCCAGGACCCCAATCTCGTATGGTGATCTCAACAAGGGGGGATTGGCCAGTTGATATGCGGGTTTGCGACCTCATACACCTCACGTCTGCTTCTTGGAATGTGCCCTTGGTGAATTCTATTTTCCTTCCTTTTGAGAGAGATCGTATATTGAGTATTCCGTTAAGTTTTCGACTTCCAGATGATGTGGTTTGCTGGGATTTGCATAAGAGTGGTGACTACACGGTGAAGTCAGCATATCATGCTATTTTTGGGGACTCGATTGATAAAGGTGTTGCCTCTAGTTCTTCTCAATTAAAAGTATGGAGTAAGATATGGCATGTCAATGTTTTACCTCGTATTAAATTGTTCTTTTGGAGGGCGTGCTATGGAGCTCTACCCACGTCAAGGGGGTTGAGTAAAAGACTCCCCGATAAGAGTCCTATATGTACTTTATGTGAGGTTGATGAGGAGTCAGAATTACATTGCTTGCGTGATTGTATTATAGCAAGATTGATATGGGAGGAAAGTGGTTTTGATTATGACATGAGGGGTATGTTTCATAATTTTGGGGAATTGGCTTTCAATTGTTTGGAGAAGCTGCCGAGTAGAGACCATGCTCTCTTTATGACGCTATGTTGGTCGATTTGGAATGTGAGGAACAAGTGGCTCTTTGAGGGGAAAGCTTGTGATCCGAAGGCTTCAGTCGAGTATGTTGGGAAGCTCTTGGCAGAGCTGAAAACAGAGGACAGGGGAGCTATAGTTAGTTCAAGGACGCGTCATAAATGGAAGCCACCAAAACGGGGCTGGGTTAAATTGAATGTTGATGGTGGAGCTGCTGAGGGAAGAGGTGCATCTTTGGGTGTTGTGATTCGCGACTGTGATGGTGGTGTGAAGCTTGCGGTGGCATGGAGGATGGAGGATCGTTGGCCCCCTGATGTTACCGAAGCCATGGTCGTGCTGATGGGGCTTAAGGCTGCTGCAGAGTTCGGGTTTCATCAAGTCGAAGTGGAGAGTGACTGCTTGGGTGTGATAAACGCAATCTCGTCTCGCGAAAGAGGGAAGAGTTCCCTGCATATGGTTTTTGATGATATTTATCATGTCTCTAGTTCTTTTAAGGCTATTTCTTGGAAGTTTGTTCATAGGGATGTAAATAAGGTGGCAAATGAGCTTTCTCATTGTTTACCATGGGAGGTGGGAAGATATGTTTGGTTGTTAGATTTTCCAACTGATATTGTATCTTTGGTGGAACGTGATATCTCTATGAATGAAAGCTGATCCCATTGGGACTTTGTTTCAAAAAAAAAAAAAAAAAAAAAAAAAAAAATTGTTGTTGATTGAATCGTTATGCTTTGAGAGTCATCACCAAGTCTAATAATATGTAAATAACGTAAAGTGAAAGAGATTACGCACCAATACTCTTGGAACGTATATACCTTGAGTATGAACATATGGGGGGAGTTATGGGGTTTTATATTTAACTATAGCTTCTAATGGAGTACAGGACGCTGTACATTCCTTTTTATTTATCATTACGCGCAGGAATTCCGTCACCTATGTGTGGTTTTTTCGCTGGCACGGTTAGCTCCCGTGTCAGTTAACCTCAATTTATTTGGGGGAGGTAGAGTTGGAAACCCGTTCGATGCGTAATCAACGCTAAATAAATTATTTAGTGTCTAGATAATGAGTCTTATTGATGTTGTGTGTGCTTGTAAACAGGTGCATGGAGGTAAGTGTGTGTGTTGATAGGTGAAAGCATGTTAAGTGTGTTTAATTACGCTTATGTACTCAGCTTTGCTGATTGTGTGTGTTTGTGTGTTTTGGCCATGTCTTTATCTTGGCCCTATGATGACCTATTTTTAATGGAGAGTAGTGGAAACAAGTAGAGATAAACTTTTCAATATTGAAGCATATTCATGACGGGGCATGAGTGAAGAGCGAATCATGCTAGTTTCTATTAGTTTACGATGTGCTTTATGCATTGAATATTTATGGTGTTATTTTATATGTGGACTAACGCAAGGATTTGGATTTGGATTTGTTTGGGTTTGGTTTGAATAAGGGTCTTTAATGGCTCCAAGTTGTAGTTTGATTTTAATTGACTTCGTTGGTTTTGGTTTTAAAACTTTACTTTCGTTTGTTGACTTTTAAGTTGACTTTATTTTGAATGGTTTTGATTTTTAAGTCTTCCGCTGTGTATCTTTGATAGTTGCTTTAGCCGTTTTTACGGTGGCGGTATTGTCTTAGATATTCCTAATTCGTATTTTCAAAAGGGTAAAAGAGGTATTTTAAGGAAAGGAATTTCTAGGGTGTTACAGCTAATGGGAGAAGCAAGATGTTTTGGGTGGCTGATTTTTTTGTTTTGTTTTTGTTTTTTTTTTAAAAAAAATTTTAGAATAAACTTAACGGAATTAGGATTCCGTTAAGTGGTAGTGATTTTTAACAAACGCTATTTTAGGTGGTAGCAAAGTTAAAAAAAAAATAATAAATAAATAAATAAATTAATTAAACCGGTAGCAAATGTGAAGCGAGGTGTTTTCCCTAGTAGCAAATGTCAAACAATTGAGTTTGGCAAACAATTTTGCTTCTTCTCTCACCCTGAATCGATTGAAATGAAGAGATTAGGGCCCCATGACCGAAGATTCTAGCCGGAAAACTTGATAAGGTAGTGCTATTTAAACTTTTTATGTTTTTGTGGTAGTTTTTTTTTAAAAAAAGTTTTAAATGGTTGTTGTTCTCATGGTAGTTCTTCACAAAATTTCCCCCTTATTGTTTCTATCCTTTTAAAAATCATCTTGCAAAATGTAATTGTTCAAAAGTACCAACCAGAAATATTTGAAATAGACGCCAAACTTAAAAATCAAAAGAGTGCCTGCAACACGGCTTTACAGTAAGCGTACACTTCATATGAATATATGATTATGTTTAAGATAATTATGTACACGGCCATGCCAAAGGGCTTCTCAATATCCAGATTTTATGTACACATCAACAATGTTAAGAAAATTAAAGATGGGGAGGGACGCGAGGAAATTTATACAGATATTGCACAAAAGTAGCCACATTATCAACTTTTTCGTGCTGATTTGATTTCACTGCTTAACAACTCAACTCGATGCTGATTCTTGTTCACTGCTCAGAATCTCCAGAATCAGTAGATGACAAAGATCCAAACATTTGGGCAATTAGGCTTCCACCTGCATAACAAAGGAACTGCAATCAGCATAGGAGAAGCCACCAAGGAAACGGATGCAGGCAAATTTATGTACAAGTTGCTATGCTCAGATTTTTTGGTAATTGGTAATACTATCACTTTTCTGGTAGAAAATGTTGAGCCTTTCATTTTTTTTCTTAACATCATAACATTTGTTCCTACCATAAAATCCCTCCAAAAATATCATGTTACAGTAAATCGAAGTTTTAAAGTGGTACCTCCAACTAGGAGATAGAACGCACTTTGATACAATGCTAAAAACTGATTAAAAACAAATTCCTCCACTCACTAAGCCAAAAGATTAGTAAATTTCTCATATATTCAGGCAGACTTCAGCTCAACAAAAATGTGATTTTCGGTGCAAACTCGACAAGTCAAGCCTTTCATCCTTACTGAATCTCTGGCAAAGCATATTCAACAAATGTGCAGAATACAACTGAGGTTGGTAAGGATAAAGGGGGAACACATCTTTTGTTGAGTGGGAAATAATTATTTTTCTCAAGTCCAAAGGCGTTTCAGGCTTGCTCAATCTATTTTTGAAATTTAACTACTGTTTTGAAGTTGTCAGAGCTTGTAGCACCCAGAAAAAAAAGCCTCTGGCAAGGTCAATTCAGTTAAATGCGCTGGCTTTTGGGAGGTCCCATTACCCAAGTAAACTTCCTGGATAACTAAACGCCATAAAAAAAGTAACAGAGATCTAGAGCATGCAAAGAATAGGTTGTCTCCTACAAAAAAGTCTGGTCAATTGTACATGGTCCTTTTACTTGAATATCAATCTTTGCCCGGGATTCTTAAATTTGACACTGCACAGTCATTGCTTGAAGAAATACGCAAGGCATACACAGTAGAGAGGCCTAGATAGGTGTTACATTTGCTGCCTATTTCTTTCCAAGGTTTCTTTGGAGAATGTATTCAACTGAGTGAGCCAATGATTGATTCCCAAAAAACAACAATGCATTTGAAATTCAACTAGTAATAAAAAAAGTGATTTCTTACCAAGGACAAGAGCAGCACCAATCCATCCATAAATACCCCATCTTTCACCAAGAAGGAACCAAGCAAAGCCAGCTCCCCAAATTGGTTCCAGTCCGTAAATAATAGCTGCTTCAGTTGCTGATACTTCCTGCACTGCAGCCATCTGCAGAACCAAACACATTCAGAAATGATGAACAACATATGATAATCCTGAACAACAATAATTTCCTATATGGTTAACAATACTCCATATTCATAGCTGTTTTACCTCTGACAACAAATGGTATGCTTAATAGTTCATTATACATCTAATTTATATTCCACATATCATTTCCCTATTCCAGATTTCCAATTTCCACTTTAACTGCTGATACACAGTATAGGGCTTGTAAGTTGGAACTTAGGGAAGAAGTATAAAGGCAGTAGCTAGAAAGAATTAGTTTTGAGATCTGTCTTTTATTTGTTTGGGCCCTTAAAATGCCTATACAAACTAATGCTAGTCGCAATTGTATATAGAGACTAGCCTTTATTCAATGCAAATACGAAGATTCAGTCTTTCGAACTTAATTAATCCATCCATTTACTCAAGTTTTCAATAGATCCAGCACTCAAAATGCTTAAGTTTCTATTTATGCCAATGTTCACAACATTACTTTAATTCAACATGTAATCTGCATGTTATCTCGCTACCATACTGCACTCTTAAAAAAATTGGTCATTAAAATTTAGCAAGCAAAAAAAAAACAAATAGAGAGAGAACCTAATGAGAAATAAGATGACAGATTAAGATTAAGATTAAGATTTAATAATTAGCAATCACGAGGGGGGAGGGGGAAGAAAGAAGGCTCACATAATTCAAAGCTTTGAAGAGAAAAGTACCTCTACCCATAAGCATATTCTGGAGAACACTCCTGTGTATATTGCTGGTATCCAAGGAAACGAGACCCATGAAGCCCAAAACAATTCCCATGTCCAAGGTCTATGACTTTCACCAAACCAGCCTTCGAATAAGAACCAGGTGATTGATGAGACTGCAACAACACATACCTGGATGAAACCTCAGAACTGCTCAGAGAACAGGCAAAGATATCAACAAGTGCAATAAAAAAAAGTTGCATTTTATTAAAAATTTGGATGCCTAGGAAAGTAGGAATTGAAACACTCAAGCCCAAACGTAAAATTTGAAATCTTCTTCAAGGCTCTTAACCTCAATTCCAAGGAGTGGTATGAATTTCTCCTTTGTGGTGGTTCTTGAAATTTGCCGAGTCTTCAACATATGGACACCAAAAAAAATCGCACTCAGAAGGTTAAAAAGATCACCAACCTGAAAAAAATTCATGCTGAACTAATCAAATAATCACAAATTGTTCAGCATAGAGTTTAGATAGTATGTGATTAATGATTTTTCATTAAAAATGCAACATGACTTCAAGCATAAATCACTTACACTAGGCGGAGACCCACTAGATTCAAGTAAACAGAATGCATCTTAGCCATTGTCCGAAATTAAACCAACACTGCTTCATACAAGTATAATACACAACACAAGAAGAAAAGAAGAATAAATTTATAGAAAATTTCACAAAATTCAACCCAAAAAAACAATAAAGATAATAGAGAACATACCATAAACAATAGTAATGACCAAAATAATGGCGCGAAATTTATTGGAGGTGAAAAATGATTGGCTTTGGAATAACAGGTTGAAGTTATTAATATCCGGAGATTTGATTGGCTGAGAAGCCGAAAGCGCCTTCGGCGGAGTAGTTTGATTGGCGGGAGTCCTACAAAGGTACACGAATCTGTTGGATGGCTTAGAAGGTGGATGAGGAAATGAGAGAGAAATGAATGGATTTGACTGGTGACAGAAAAATGAAGTTTTTATGGTTTGCTGCTTCCATGGATATCTGCTGCTTGAGCTTGAAACTACTGCTGAAGCCATTTCTGTTACTCTCCTACTCTCTCTCCTCTAAGAGTTTATGCAAAAAAAATCCTACTTTATTTTTTGGTGTATGCTTTTGGACTGTACATATAGGTGTACTTGAATTAACTTATTTGAAAGGGGTCAGATTCTGTTTGTGAAGTGTGTACTCAGGTGTGAAATAGTGAATTGTTATGCACAAAATATGATCCATTCTATCACTTGAATTTTGATATAAGTATTACTCTAAGCGCCTGTTCACATTTATTGAACTGAACTGATTGAAACTGAACTAAACTGAACTGAACTAAGCTAAAATGAATATTTTATGAGAGAGGGAAATTAAGACCTGAGCTGAACTGAACTGATTGGAGCTGAACTAAACTGAACTGAAGTGAAATTAAGTAAATATGAACCGGCCCTAAGTCTCCAATATTACTAATGCCAACTTTGTTTTTAATGAACAAGTCGGTGCCAATCCAATGAGTGGTACAACATGATATTAATAAATGTGATATACCCAAAGTTTGGTGTTATTGAGCATTATTTTGCCCATTAAACATAACAAATACGGAGTAATAGTGTAATACTTAGAACTTGTAACGATGTATGATTATTGGTCAACTGTTGGTGCTGGTGCGTATCTGATTCCCACAAATCCCACCCAAGAGCATACATCTGCATAATGTCCTATGTTGGATAATTTCTTCCTACATGACAAAAATGACACCTTCAGTCATCAGTTTTGCTTATAACTCTCCTTGTTCTCAATCTTCCTAAAGCGGTCATGTAGCCACAGATGAATGCATAGCGATATTGTATCGATTATAAATCCACTGCATTCCTTTGTATCAATGATCTAAAACAAGTAGTTTCATACATATTGGAGCTTCAGTAATCAGTTCTTTCATAACATCTTGGCTAGGAGCCCATGGATTTATCACAACAAGCTGACTAACTTCCAGATTAATATGCTTTGTTCCTAACAGCACAGGGCCGGGTCAACTTCAACTGCTTTGTTCCTAACAGCACAGGGTCAACTTAAATTTCTTCGTTCCTACCATCCGTGAGTATATTTCGCCATAAACACACCACTCCTTAACAGCAAAGCCTAGCTTCTCAATACAAAATTTCCCCACACTCTCCTTGCAAAAGCATTAGCAACATGAAATGGGAGGTTTTTCCCTGAATATGAAACAGGCAAATTACAGTTCCCTAGTATTCAATTTCATATTGAACAACTTGCGCGATTCATAACAATTTCACAACATGCTGAGTTCTGAATTTCTGATAATCAAATAAATGTGAAGTATGTAAAAAGCTGTATAAATGCCAAATTTTATACGTAATTGTAACAAATTCAATATCTATACATTTTAATAAGATTACATACCCAAAACACTAAACAGAAAATATTTTATAAATATGCCAAACTTCGAAACTTAAGGCAGCAATGCAGCTGGCAGCTGGCTAATGGCTACTGGCTTAGATGAAGGATATTAACATGTTTTCGCTTTTACTGTTATGTACTTACGTATCAGGTTTATGTACACTAAACTATGGTGCTATCTATACATACACTGCACATCTTATCTACATTATCTATCACTCAAGTGTAATCTACCATTCCAGATATATAATTTGAGGCCTATTCTAGATCACCCCTCACCACTGCCAGAATCTGTGGACGATAAAGATCCAAACATATGAACAACTAGGCTTCCACCTGCAACAGAGGATAATGTGTAATAAGCACAAGTGAGGTACAACCATCATGATCACTCATACATAAAAACAGGAGATATTCAAGTATAGTATTGAATAGAACATAGAAGTTTAGATATTAATGCATGAGAGACTGGAACAAACTTGAAAACAAGAGGCTGGGCAAGGAACAAGAGTGGCTTCTTCATCAACTTACTACTTTGCTTTATAGGTAATAATGTTTAGATTTTTCCTTTACTTATGTTTCCAACATTCACATGTCCTATTCCCTCCCATAAAATCCTTCCAGAGAGAACCATAACTAATACGTAGTAAATTGAAGCATTTATGGTGGTGCCTCCCAATTAAAGAAACAAAAGGTTTGGAAACCACCAGTGAGATACATAGGGATTCTGTCTGATAATAAGTTTAACAGAATCAATTTAAAAGGTGATCGAAACTCCTCCATTGAAGCCATTAGGCTAGTAAATCTCTCTCATATGCAGGCAGACTAGCTCATCAAGACTATTTTTTTTGCTGTACCAAGTTGCAAACCTGACTGGCCAAATCTTATAGTTTTATCCAAATCGGGTTTCAGTTTTAGCTTCTAAAGCTGATCTGCAGGTCTTTTTCATGGTTGGTAAGGGGGGAAGGAGGAAAAGGGTTCCTGTTGGACCATACATTCATGTTTCCAACTCCAAAGGTGGTCCAGGCTTGTTCAGTTTCCGGGATTAAACATTGGTAACCCACTTTGAAAAAGAAGCCTATGGTAAGATGAATCAACAAATTACGGCTATCACTTAAACATCCCTAATTCTGTGAAGCGCACATTCTTGAGCAAGCTTTCTTGATAAGTACAGAGTAAACACTATAATAGCAAAGATCATTAGATTCCTATAATTCCTCAATCATTGCCCTGGTCTAAAATGTTTCGGTCACATCGGGTACTCCTAGCAAAATTTTTGCAATTGGCTAGCAGTTTTTTAAATGCTTCTTACGAAGAAAGAATTGGCACCTCAGAAATCCAACTTAGATGCAGAGGATGAAATTACAAATTGCTAAATTTGTTCCATTCCAAGTGGGAAGAGATATGGGGCTCCAATCAAAAGGACAGAAGCATCGGCACTTAGATTTGCATAGGTGTACTTGCAGCACAGATTCACATATTCATTAGAATCTTTGCTCCAGATTTAAGGATGGAATCAAATCTGTAACGATAGTATTACCCACTACCACCACATCAGCCCAGATAAGTGTTTTATTTTTTATTTTTTTGGGAGGGGAAGGGAAGTGTGTGGGTGGGGGGGGGGGGGGTTGCATTTGTAATATACAGGGCATGTGTGAGGACTAATCAAATTATTGATTGCTTACCAAGGATAAGAGCAGCACCAAGCCATCCAATAGTGTCCCATCTTTCACCAAGTAGGAACCAAGCAAACCCTGCACCCCAAACAGGTTCCGTTCCATAAATTATCGCTGTTTCAGTTGCTGATACATCTCTCATTGCAGCCATCTGCATTAAGAAATGTTTTACGTCACAAAAGAATTTTACCTGACGATATGATATCCTAGATGGTCAGCATAACACCATATTCACAATTTGTTTACTTGTTTTAAAAAAAAAAAAAAAAATTGAAGTTCACTATGCACCTATATGTATCTTCAATATAACAATTCCCAACACTTCCAGGTTGTCAATGCTGATACCCACTGAAAAGCATAATATTACCATTTTCAAAAATAAATAAACACAACATATCTTTTGATTTTATAATCTACTCCACGTTGTTAAAATGTTATCTCAAATAATTTCACAAGGTTCACTAGACCCAGCAGTCTAAAATGTATAAATTTTCCACAAAGCTTCTGTCATTAATTCATTACTACTTTCACCACATGAGTCTAGTTACCATTACAAGATGCAGAAGGTAATCAGCATGCTACCTCTATTAGCATAATCTGTGGTCTGAAAATTAGTTTATACACACTAGATGGCCAAGAAATAATTTCAACAAGAACAAGAACCAGGAATGTAATTCATATACAAAGTTAAATAAAGATGTAAGTAGCCATTGCTCATATGAAGGAAAAGAAGTAACTGTAATATAGGTCAAACTAAGGTTTAGAGAAGTTTACCTCTACCCATAAACATAACCCGGTTGTTAATACTCCTGTGTATATTGCTGGTATCCAGGGAAATGAGACCAATGAAGCCCAAAACAAATCCCATGTCCATGGTCTAAGACTTTCACCAAACCAACCATCGAAGAAGAGCCAGATTATTGATGATAGTGCAACAACGCATACCTGGAGGAAACCTCAGAACTGCTCAGGACACAGGCGAAAAAAATCAATATTTTCAATTAACAGGTAGCCTTTTTTTTTTTTCTTTTTTTTTTTTATTACATACGTAAAGTATTTCTGAATTGGAAATGAACCTCAATTGCCAAACGTTGAACATGAAAAGTCCTTCAGGGCTCCTAAAATTGAACTTACCTCATATCCAAGAAGTGGTATGAAGTTCTCTTTGCTTGTGCATCTTGATATTCTTTCAGTTCTCAACATATTAATGCCAAAAAAAACTGCACTCAGAATGTTAAATAGATCTCCAACCTGAAAAAAGATTATACTGAGATATTTAAGATATCAGACAATGCCATATCATCTAGCACAGAGCTCAGATAATGGTGATTACTAATTTATCTATGATAAGAATGTAATGACATAAAGCATAAAGCACAGACTGGCCTGGCATAAGACACTTACATCAGGTGGGGATCCAGTAGATTCAAGCATAGCAACCCCTACAACCGACATGATAGCACCAAACCATGTAAGAGGTGGAATCACTGATCCAAACATTCCATCAAGCAAAGGAACCACAATGATCTGAGCAGAAGCATGGCCAAGAAATCAACAAAGAATATCACAATCAATACATTACAACCAGATGAGGTTTGATATCCGGAATATAGAAGCTTACTGTAAGTATAGAGATAAAAGATGCACGTCCTGCATCAGATGTAAGTAACCCAAGTGACTGAAAAAGATAACCTAAACTGGCCCATAAACCCAATTCTGCTCCTGACTTGCAGACGTGCGCATCATGTCTTGCTTGAAATGCAGCAGGTAGAAAGGGAACAGCTGATAGAGTAAATCTAAAAACATTGAAAGTAGCAGGGTCCATAAATTCTTCAACTTCTTTCAGAACTGGAATGTCACTAGCTGCCATAATAATCAAATCATCATTAATAATGTTCAACCAGAAATCATTAAACAACTATAAAAATAGGCAAGCAATTAGAAACATATTTCACCGTTTTCACTACATAAGTTTCAATAATCAATGTAGGCAGCAGTCAAATCGCGCCTCAACTTCTGATTCATAATAAACCCCTAGGAATCATATAGAAGTTATATCTCTACTCAAAAGCACCTCACAGCACATATCACTTCCAAAATTCATAACACCAATTTTAGAGTAACAATCTTTCAAAAATCATATTTACTGCTGCCAAGACAATTGAAGTTGGTAGGAAAATATCACTAGTCCACATATGAAGGGGCAGACATGGACTCTGCATTTCACCTCAAGTACCTATGTCAGACCCTCGACACTCTGACATAGGTACTTAGACACTTCACTTTCGATTCATAACCATGGTTTTTTTTACACAAAATAGCTGAGTTGGGCGCTTGGACACATACCCGTGTTGGACATGGGGACCATAGTCCATGTAACATTGGGGGCAGTAGTAAAATTAGCCTGGAAAAAGAACTCTACCCTAATTATATTCTAGCCATTATTTCTGTCTTTCGGAAGCTAATTTGCATTAGTATTACCATAGCCAAATGTATAATTTATCAATTGAAGCTCTATCAAAGTAATTAATCAACACCAACAAACTCTCACGAAATTACGAAGTACTACTAAAAGTCTAAAACAACAAAGCCTTAGTCTAAAAATGATCTGGGGTTAACTCACTTGAGGAGCAAAAATGATTTATCATCATAGCAATCATCCAACTACAAACATTAATAATATTATCTAAAAAATATAAACTACAATAAGCTTCATAAATAATACCAAATTAACAATCATCACAAAACATTTAAATTGATTTTTTGTGTACCAAAAAAAGAATCAGCAAAATAACACCAAATATAGAACAGAATTAAGAACACACCATATATAACAGTAATGACATTAAGCAGAATAATGGCGCGAACTTTCTTGGAAGTGAAAAAGATCCTACGCCACAATGATCGCTTTTGAAACAACGCCCCAAATTCATGGGATTTTATGGGTTTTGAAACCACTATTGCCTTCTCTCGATTATCATTAGCAGAATACTTACAAATGTAGACGAAATTTTTGGAAGCATTAGAATTTTTAGAAGAAGATGAACACGAAGAAGAAAATGAAGAGAGAGAAATGAATGAATTTGAGAAAGAAGAGAGTGTAAAATTGGTGTGAGGTTTTGAGATTAACTGCCATGGATGGCTGCTGCTTGAGCTTGATAGTGCTGTTGTAGCCATTTTTGTTTGATTTTGCTAAATTATTCTCTGCTAATCTTTTGATCTGATCGTTTTTGGTTTATGATTATTGATTTATGATTTGTAATATTTGATTTGAATTGAATTGATTTGATTGTTGGAGAAAAGAGTCAGATTTGTAGGTGGACTTGGGAGTGAATTGTGAAAATATCTTTCACTCGGTCTGTAATATTCATCACGTTTTTCTTATTTGGTTTTTTCGGCCATTAATTCAATGTTTTAATGTCTCCGGCCAAATGTACAGGTGTCAAAAGACTCAAAATGGGACTGACCCAAAAAAACTATCCGTTTTGAACTGTAATCGATCCGATTTAATTAGATAAATTCAACACCCAAACCCGATCTGTAACTGAACTGAACTCAACCCGAATTCGAACTTGACCCGATCTGAACATGACCCAGCACCGATTTGATTCGACCTGAACTCAACCTGAATCCAATTAGACCTGACCTGAACTCAAATTGAACCGATTTGACCCGAACCGAGCTCAACCCGATCCGAAATTGACCCGGAAAATAACTTGCCCGGCCCAATTTTTACTCGATTTGATTTTTACCCGATTCGAATTTAACCCGACCATAATTAATTATTGACTTTTTTATTCGAGTTTTTATATTACTATATATACTACTCCCTCTGTGTTTTTTTAAGTGTTACACTTCCCATTTCCGGCTGTTTTTTTTTAAAAGTTACTGATTAGGGGATTTTGCTCCCACCAATCGGAATGCGCCACGTGGGCCAATCAGGTCCTGCCAAGTGTCCCCCAGTTGTAACTGTCAGGGCTTGCCACGTGGCACGCGCTTATTCGTCCACCTTGGACCTATTATGTCATGACACGTGGCATACTCCATGCCTAATGGAGAAACCGGCCACCGAGGCCCAACTTCCGAGGGAAGCCCAATCAGCCCTAGGTTAACCTAAACCTAGGATTAACACGTTTCCCAAGGTTATAAATACCTCCCTTAATCCTCATTAAGGGGGGAGGACAGGAATTACATGCTGATTACGCTAAAAACTCACATTAAACACTCTCACCTAGAGAGACCCAATCACTTTAATTTCCGCATTAATTACTCCTTAATCAAGTACTAACTTGACCGTTGGAGGCGGAGCTCCCACCACCAGGAGTCTCCGTTGTTTTGCAGGTACAGGCGTCCGGTTCCAGTCTCGGAATTGTAACTCTCCCGCAGGACATCAGAAAACCCCGAAACATTTGGCGCCGTCTGTGGGGAGAGTACTTCTGAGATGGCATCCAAGTCTGTACCGACTCCTGAAGAGAGGCGTCCCCTAGACGACCCTCAAGTTCAGTCGGACCACGATACTGAGAGTGAATTTGAAGTTGAAGCTCACACAGCTTCAGACGGGACCCTAAGGGCCCGACGTACCCGTCATACCGAAAGGAGGGAACGGGAACATCTTCAAACTGGAAGTGAGCCAGCAGGCGCACCGCCTGTTCGGCAGCAGCCGACTGATGGGTTTGCTCCCATCACAAGGAACGAACTCATGACCTTCATGAGGGACTTCAAGGGAGAAATTCAAGAGTTGATCAACAAGAAGCCGCCTGCTCTGGACAAGGAGCAGTCGGCTAAGAAACCTTCCACTTCACTAAAGAGGAAGCCAGTTCAAGGGCGAGAGGCGACTCCTCATCCTAAATCTAGGAAGCGGGAGCCGACTGCCCTTGATTTCACAAAATACCGTTTTCCTACTCCAGGAAATAGGAAACTTGTTCGTCATATTCAGGCGGACGGGTCGAGGAAATCATACACAGACGCTCGGCTACTGCTAGAGCAGAAGAAGAGTGATCGATTGTCAGAGTCGGCCTCTACTTCAAACTTCCAAGACAGTCTGCGAAATACCTCAATGAGGCATACTCAGTCGTATCATGAGAGTCAGTCAGGCGGCACCTCCCGTCAGTCCGGCTTTCATAGCGACCAGGCGGTACCAAACTTACCGTTTGTACCGCAACAACAGTATTTTTTACAGCCACCTCCGTTTGGTGGACAAGCAGCAAAAAATGTCCAACCTATGGACTGGCAGCTACGGTTGCTTAGACTTGGTGAACAGCCATCGGCCTTCTCCAAGGAAATTACTGAAGCCGCTCAGCCGGCCAAAGTGAAAAATGTATTAGTAGGCGCCTATGATGGCACTACTAACCCAGAAGACCATCTGATGGCATTCACCAACCTGATGTACCTTCAAGGGTTGGATGATCCCACCTGGTGCAAGTGTTTCCCAGCGACTTTCAAAGGAATCGCACAACAATGGTTCGGCAACCTGCCGACTGGTTGTGTAAATAGCTTCAGGACGCTTGCTTACTTATTCACCTCCAACTTTGCCATGAACATCCCTGCGAAGAAGACGACCCTTGATTTTGGAACAATTCAGCAGGGCGAGAAGGAGGGGCTTCGTTCATACATCAGGCGGTTTAACCTGATGAGAATACAGATTCAAGGGTTACCGGATGAAGTAGCCTATACTGACTTTTTCAGAGGTCTCAAAGACGGGTCGACCTTCAAATTTGATTTGGTCCGAAAGAGGGTGGCGACTCTTCAAGAGGCCTTGATTGAAGCGGAAGCCTATATACAGGCGACTGATCTTTGTACGGTAAAACAGTCGGACGGGAAAAGGTTCGACAAAAGAGAAGGACGACAGAAACAGTCGTCAAACAAAGACGAGAAAAGAAAAGAGGTCTGGGCGGCTGATTTCTCTAAACAGCTGGCCCAGAAAAAGAAAAAAGAATTCAAACCATACTCCCCAAAGTATGCGTTTAACAAGGATAGCCAGTTTATCCTAAAGGAGATCAAGGGACGAATCTCAATTGAGAAGCCGGTCTCCATGAAGGGTTCTGCAAACAACCGGAACCAAGATAAATTCTGTGCTTATCATGAAGATGTTGGTCATCACACCAATGAATGCATCAGTCTCATGCGGTATCTGGACCGCCTGGCTGAACAAGGTGATCTTGACACTTATGTCAAGATATCTACGGGGAACACTTCCTCGAAAAAGCAGTCGGCCAAAAAGAATCAACATACCGACAGCTCCGATACAGATGATGCAGTCGTCTACACCATTGCAGGCGGCTTCTCAGGAGGCGGCCCCACTATTAAGGGCAACAAAGACAATATCAGACGGTTAGATGTAAATTCCGTTCACCAAGAACGGCCCTCCAAATATTCATTTCCTGAGATTGTCATCACTGAAGAAGATCTAGGAGGGGTAAGAGGGCCGCATGACGACCCTATCGTTATTGAATGTAAAGTGGCCAACCAGAGAGTTGGCCGAATCCTCATAGATACCGGAAGCTCCTCAGATCTCATCAGTCGCAAATGTCTGTCGAAACTAAAATATCAGACTGATTGCATACATCCGGCCTCCCACCCTTTAGTAGGGTTTGGAGGAGGAGTCGTCCACCCAGTGGGACGAGTGGATTTACCCATCCGCCTGGGTGAAAAAGGAGAAGGACGACACATGGTAGTCCGGTTCCTGGTAGTAGAAGAACTCTCGGCCTACAACATGATTCTGGGACGACCAACCCTGAATAATTCCAAGGCTGTTATAATCCCATCTCTTATGTTGCTCAAGTTTGAGAGGGATAATGGAACAGTCGGGTCCCTTAGGGGAGATCAGAGGATGGCCCGAGAGTGCTATCTCTCGGATGTCAAGCCTACTGTTATGGCCACTATGTCGAGCGGTGGAAAAATATACCTTGACAATGTCAAGGAGAGTGCGCCTGTTCAAGAGGCAGGCGGCAAGAAGAGAAAGGCATCCCAGACAGGGGCCGCAAGAAAAGACAGAAAATAGCAATCATTGGCAGAGGAGCGGTCGGATGAATTCCGCCCTCAGCCAGCTGGTGAGCATACAGACCTAATCTTAGATGACTCGCGCCCTGACAGAACAGTTAAAGTTGGGACGACTGCTCTAAAGGTCCTGGGTGACGATTTTCACAAACTATTGAAAGAATACAAGGACATCTTTGCCTTCGAAGTCCATGAAATGCCAGGCATTAGTCCTGATCTGGCGGTACATAAACTGGCTGTGGATCCGAAAAAGAAGCCGGTACGGCAGAAGAAATGGAACCATGGCGAAGAAAGAGGTCAGGCGGCAGCCGCCGAAGTTAAAAAATTACTTGATGCAGGGTTCATTCGGCAATGTTACTTCCCAGACTGGGTTGCAAATGTGGTGCTTGTTAAAAAGCCGAATGGCACCTGGCGAATGTGTGTAGACTACACAGACTTAAACAAGGCGTGTCCTAAAGACAGTTACCCTCTACCTAAAATTGATAACCTGGTCGACTGAACAGCCGGCCATGCTTTGATGAGCTTTATGGACGCCTACTCTGGTTTCCATCAAATTCCTTTATGGAAGAAAGATCAGGAGAAGACGGCCTTCGTCACTGATCAAGGATTATACTGTTACACGGTCATGCCGTTTGGTCTTAAGAATGCCCCGGCCACTTTCCAGCGAATGATAAACACTGTGTTCTTTGATCAGATTGGGAGAAATGTCGAGGCATATATTGATGATATGATTGTCAAGTCTAAACTTCAGCAAGATCATCTGTCGGACCTCCGAGAAACTTTCGCCACACTCAGGCGGCACCATGTCATGCTCAATCCCAAGAAATGTGTCTTTGGAGTTGAGTCTGGGAAATTTCTCGGATTCCTTATCAATCAGAGAGGAATAGAGGCGAACCCTGAGAAGGTACAGGCGGTCATCGACATGCAGTCGTCTCGTACCATCCGAGAGGTTCAGAAGTTAGCAGGTTGTCTGGCGGCCTTGGGAAGATTTCTAAGCCGATCAGGCGACAAATGCCTATACTTTTTCCAGGAAATTAAGAAAAAGGCAAGGTTTGAATGGGGGCCGGATGCTGAGGCGGCCTTCCAGAAATTGAAAGTTCACTTGCATTCCTTGCCGAGGCTGGTCAGCCCTTTGCCCAAAGAAGTACTCTACATGTACCTGGCCGTCTCTGATCATGCGTTAAGCGCTGTTCTCCTTGCTGAAAGAGACGGTTGTCAGCTCCCGGTCTACTTTGTCAGTCACGTACTGAAAAATGCCGAGTTGAGGTATCCCTTAGTGGAGAAATTTGGTCTTGCACTCTTCATGGCTGTTAAAAAATTGAAGCCCTACTTTTTGGCACATGCAGTCGTCGTGTATACAGACCAACCTATCAAGCGGCCACTGACCATCATGGA